ATCTTTCTCAGTTCTATTTTGCCGATAATGCCAGTCCAAGTGATCTGCATAAACATCTCTCTGGGATGTCGGAAACCTCATTCCACAAGAATAACACTGAACCCCAGTGTACAGCCGGTGTATGACACTGTCATAACGTTGTTTCAATTCTTCAGTTTTAAAATTAGTGAGATCTGGAATATCTTGATCTTCATTCTGATCCTTCCCCTCTTCAGGGGGAGGCTGGGTATCAGCCTCATTTACCTGTGTTCTAGCTGAATCAGGCTGTGACAATTTGAGAATTCCTGCTTTTACCAGTTTTGTAAACAATTCATTTACATCCACCTCACTGAGATGATGATCAGGATATGCTTCAGGAAGACCTCCTGAAGGATTTTGAATAAAAGTTCCAGCATTCTGTGCATGAACTGGTAACAATTGTTGTCCTTGGCCAAAAGCTACTGGCTGAGGAATACCTATCAGAACCTGTTGAGATGTCTGAATATCTCCTCCTGGCATTGGACTAGGTAAATTGCCCAAGTTTCCCAACTGAGAACTCTGAAGATTCCTTTCATCAAAATAGTGTCCTGAAGCTCTGTTAAAAGCATTTGGGAAATTCGGGTTTCTAGAGCCATGAGGTCCATTAAAATTTGGTCCTTGATGTGTATCAAATATTTGTGCATGTCTTTGCAACTGTAGTCCTTGAGATGGCACATTTAAAGCTTTGCCAAGTAGGTCATTATATGGGCCAGGCTGATTGAAATATTCAAGCCTTTGTGAATGATGATTGTCTTGTTGGGTACCTCGCAGAGCAATAAAAATGTCAGATCTTGATGCTTGCTCTTGTTGTGGCCCATGAAATCTTTGAGGTACACTATCAAATCTCAGTTGAACCTGCTGTCCAGTGGCCCAGCAAATCTCTGTGGACCTGGCTGAACAGTTCTTTCAAATCTGGGACCTGGCTGGCCATGTGTTCCATCAAATCTTGGCAAAAGTGACGGCTGACCTGGCTGTCCATCAAATCTTAAAGAGTTACAACCTTCCAATCTTGAACCACCTTGACCCAGAGGTGATTCAATTCTCAGGCCACCTCCTGGTACAGGACCCTCAAACCTCATTCCACCTCCCTGTTTTACTAAAGGTCCTTCAAACCTGATCCCAAGCCCTGGTCGACCATGTGGTC